AATTTAACAACCACTCTTGAGATTGGTTACAAATTGTAAACACAAAATATGTAGTGTGTTATGGAATGGTTGACACCCACTCACATAGAGAATGTGAATGCAAACAAAAAACTCAATCATGTATGATTGTACGTTTATGGGAATGATTGTATGATTGTACGTTTATGGGAAGGACGACTGCTATTTTGGGTTATGACCTGACCAGGGATCTAACCATGGTGCTATGGAGTGGAAGTACGGACATATAATCACTCTGCTACGGCGGCCGTCGTAAGTGCATACTATACATATGTATGTATACATACTCGATTATTTGTTCTCAAAATGCATGAAAACTTGCAAACAATCAATAACATTTTGTGATAAACAGTTTTACAAATGTATTTTCACTTCAAATTTTTGTTTTAATAAAGTATGAATTAAATAAATTATTATTTTAAAAAATAGATATTATACTTGGCAACTCTTGGACTTTTCTTCATTCGTAACAAATGACAGATGTAAACAAAATAAAAAAAAAATTGTAATTTTACAAATTTAAAGCAAACGGGCGCTCTTTACAAAAAATATAGTTAGGGATCGAATTGCGCATATTTTTTTACAATACCAAGCGCCTCCAAGATGTGTTAAACCGCTAAATAGCTTAAAAAACNCGTTTATGTAACTCGAAATTGTATTGATGATTACTAATAATAATAGAAAGGCGCTTACATATCGATGGTCCTCTGCAATAACGACACAACTCAAAATTTCATATATTGCAGTAAAGCCAATTAAAGAATTTTTGTTCGTAATTTAGCAATAATATGTCTTGGAACGTAATTATTCTGGATTATTTGCAGTCATACTGTAAGCTTTCAAATTATGTCTTTTTCTAAACCTGAATTGTGCCATTATTGCAGAGGACCATCGGCATATGTTAGTGTTTGGCCGAGCTACTCCTCCGATTGTGGCATGCGCCTTGATGTTGTCGCAAAAAGGGGAGGGACCTACAGTTTTACGCCGACTNTCGCAAAAAGGGGACGGACCTACAGTTTTACGCCGACTCCTGCCGGGGGCCGACTACTATAACAAAAAACATTTTCTTTTTTATGTTGGCTGGAACTGGACTCGAACCTTCACCCTGCGGAATGGTAGTGCGCACTTCTTACCACTACACCACAGCGATCGCTTAATTAATTTTAATCATTAATCGAGATTAACCATTTATTCGTTAATTTTTAGTCATTCATAGACTAACATTTTGTCGACAATACTCGCATAAGATAGTCNTTTTTTATGTTGGCTGGAACTGGACTCGAACCTTCACCCTGCGGAATGGTAGTGCGCACTTCTTACCACTACACCACAGCGATCGCTTAATTAATTTTAATCATTAATCGAGATTAACCATTTATTCGTTAATTTTTAATCATTCATAGACTAACATTTTGTCGGCAATATTTACTCGCAAATTTTCACAAAAGAGAAAGTGATTTTCCTCAAAACTTTTGAATGACGTCTTGACTGAACTTACTAATTCGGAATTTATACTATTACTTATAGAGTAGGCTATTCATAAAGTCTGGGTAATGAAATTAAAATTTTTCTATTATATCTTACATATATATTAGGAGACTTTTATTGTTTAATTTATTTTTTGCACATAAACTTGTATCTTGAACTTCTTTTTCCAAAAAGTGAGGACGTCAAAATTTTAATAGATATCGGATGTACGGCAATTTTCTAAAAAGATCTCTAAATAGATTAGTTCATGAAAATTATTCCAAACGAAAACTTAAAATTGATATAAAATCTTAACTAAATTTAACTAATTTATATTAGAAGTTTTAAATTAATCCCACTGTAAGTGTGAAATCAGTTGCTATGTATTTCCATGATACAAAAAACCACCTGACGTTTAAGCATATTGTAAAATTTCATGCTACCATACGCAGTATCTAAAATCCTTCAAATTTTATTATTAATTTTTCGTTTGTTTAAAAAATTTTATTCTTAAGGCGCTGGCCCAATGCAGGCTTGCTTTGCACGCCTTGCTTACTTTAATTTGCTTTGATTAACTTCAAAAACTCGTCTGGCCAAATGGCGGCTTGGAACGCTGTCAAAGCAACCAGCTGTGTAGTTAAAAAGTCAAGGTCTGTTTCNGTGTGAAAAGTTGATAAGTCTACATTTTATGAAGCCTCAAATTTTGACATAGAAAGTAAGAGAAATTAAGGACTAAGGTACTTGTTTTATTTCTTCTTGTTTATATTCAATGAAAGATAAATTTTATAAGTCCAAAAGAGGCCCCGAATATGCAATAAGGCCAAAATAATACGAATTTTTTTAACAGAGATCGAATCCTTCTGATTTGTATGGAGTTTTGCTTTGCTTTAAACACGCAAAATGTTGTATTTAAAGTTCCTGTAAAATTTGTAAAATTGGACGTAGCAACTTTTCACTTTAAGCCAGCGACATGTTAAATATAAATATGGAAACATAGATTACTTTTTATTAAACTTTGAATTACTAATATTATACATATAATACGTATAAATTACGTATCACAATTTTTGTACATAAAAGTGTGCAGTACTTTGTTTGAATTGATTTAGAACGGGAACATATCTTTTTGTCAAAAGCCTACGAAACGCTTTCAAATAAAACATATGCCTATTTGAAACTTTGAGGCGCTTAAAGCAAGTGAAGCAAAGCTGCCATTTGGCCACCCTTCATACGTTTTAGTATATTCCAAATAACTTTTGACAGTTTTCAAAGCTAAGCAAGCAAAGCAAGCCTGCATTGGGCCAGCGACTTTAGAATCGAAATTTTACCAAGAAAAATGTCTTTTGTTTTTTAAATAAATGAGGCTAATGCTCAATAAGTTGATAATTGTTGTTCTCACTTGCATACTTCACACCAAGATAAAAATATTTATAAGGTACAATCGCTGAGAGCCAACTTTGGGAGTTTTGACGTTTGCTAGCATTTTTTAAATTTTCTCTCGCCGTCATTTCATTTTTTTGTTTTTATTTTCACTCAAACCAAATAAATATATTTAGTCGAAACAACCAAAATTTGAATGTACATACATAGCAATTGTGTATAAGGAACTTCTGNCTTGCATACTTCACACCAAGATAAAAATATTTATAAGGTACAATCGCTGAGAGCCAACTTTGGGAGTTTTGACGTTTGCTAGCATTTTTTAAATTTTCTCTCGCCGTCATTTCATTTTTTTGTTTTTATTTTCACTCAAACCAAATAAATATAAAACCAAAATTTGAATGTACATACATAGCAATTGTGTATAAGGAACTTCTGCCCGCATGTTAAAGGGTAGATTTTGGCATACATTTAAAGATATTGTACCTTAAAGGCACTGTACTGTTCCAAAGAACTACATATCTTATGCTTATATTAAGTCAAGTGATGTGGCAAAATATGAGCCGAACATACATAGGGGCAATTTGGCAAATCCATTTTCATAACACCACAAACCTCGATCCATTTTTTCCTTCATACGGTAATTGCGGGAACTAAAAAACTTGCTATTGCTTTGCTTGCAGAGGACAACGGAATTTTCGCAGCCTTTAAAGCAGCGACTCATTTTTCTTCTCCAAATTTTTAAATTTTTTCCCACATTTGAATAAAAAACTTTTCAAATCATAAAATTTCATTTGGTTATTTTAAATTTATTTGACATTTGAATCAATTCGAGAGTTTAATCAAAATGCTAGCAAACGTCAAAAAAAAACCCAATGGCGGACGAATTGAGCGAGCGGTTTTACCTTTAAATATTTGTATCATGCTTCACACCAACTCCAATATTGAACAGTGAAATATATTTTAATTTTACCCAAATAAACAACGATATAGTTTAATGGTCAAGCACATATAGAGGATTCACAAGAGGTGTTAAGTGTCGTAATATGTTAAAGTCTTAAAATTTTTAAACGTAAAATAATGCCTAATACCTCTTTAGTCCTTTTGTAACATAACCAAAATGCTTTTAAACTAGTAGGAAATATATTATTGGCTCTTATTATACCCAACGAATCTTTCAAATCCCTTTTAACCGTTACTTTATATTGGACAATTTTAAGCCTTTAAGACATTACGACGTCTAACACGAATTGTGAATCCCCTAAATATGCATTAATTTACACATCAACATTTGTAATTTCAGTGTTCGAATTATATCAGAAACAATCGCACCCGACATTGAAAACTGTAATAGTTCTGGCTAGTTACATTGTGAAATAATCAGATGGCATAAGACACTAAATATTTTTAAAATATCTTCACTAAAATTTTATTAACCTAAATGTAAAGTTTTTGCGAAGTGTTTATCGAAAATAATGTAAAATATAAACATTTTTAACATAAGATATGAACTATTTTTAATATTACATAAACTGGAAACTGTTAAAAATAAGTGCGCTTGTGTACAGAGATTTTAGAACCCATTTAGTTCCTAAAATGTCTGTTCGCAACACATAACAATAAAAATGCACATCAAATAGCTAAAAATGATGAAGGAAATCGATTCAGACATGCCTGTTCAACTGGCCGTGCGTGCACAAAACAAGCACATGTTATTTAAGGGGTTATTCAAGTATTATGTAACCACCAGTGGAAAGCGGGGGTCTTGGTTTGCTTATTTTTAATGACAACAGTCAACATTTCTTCAAATAAGTAAAACATTAATTGCACACGCACCAATTTTGCCTCCGATTTCGATCACAATTGAACACTGCACTTCACTCTCGTTTCGAATTTTTGAAAGCGTTTTTTAAGCTATTTAGCGGTTTAACACATCTTGGAGGCGCTTGGTATTGTAAAAAAATATGCGCAATTCGATCCCTAACTATATTTTTTGTAAAGAGCGCCCGTTTGCTTTAAATTTGTAAAATTACAATTTTTTTTTTATTTTGTTTACATCTGTCATTTGTTACGAATGAAGAAAAGTCCAAGAGTTGCCAAGTATAATATCTATTTTTTAAAATAATAATTTATTTAATTCATACTTTATTAAAACACAAATTTGAAGTGAAAATACATTTGTAAAACTGTTTATCACAAAATGTTATTGATTGTTTGCAAGTTTTCATGCATTTTGAGAACAAATAATCGAGTATGTATACATACATATGTATAGTATGCACTTACGACGGCCGCCGTAGCAGAGTGATTATATGTCCGTACTTCCACTCCATAGCACCATGGTTAGATCCCTGGTCAGGTCATAACCCAAAATAGCAGTCGTCCTTCCCATAAACGTACAATCATACAATCATTCCCATAAACGTACAATCATACATGATTGAGTTTTTTGTTTGCATTCACATTCTCTATGTGAGTGGGTGTCAACCATTCCATAACACACTACATATTTTGTGTTTACAATTTGTAACCAATCTCAAGAGTGGTTGTTAAATTGTTTAAATCAAACAATCACATTTTTGAAACGAAAAAAATGAGAATGCACACTCAATTGATTCAATCATTACACAGCTCTGATTAGTAAATAGGGACACTACATCAAAAGATATTAGGATTTCGTTTTCTTCAATTTTTGTGTCTTTTAGCCTTTCTTTGAGTTCAAATGAGTTTTTGATATTATATTCTTTGGAAATTAGGTGTTTTAGAGTTTGTCCGATGAATTTAGAAAGCTTGTAGCAAGTAACATTTGTTGAACAAGAAATTGGTCTAAGAGGGGTATTTTCTTTGTGTATCTTTGGAAGGCCACGTATTACCAGCAGGTACATGGAATGCCAATGGGAAACCCCCTATCACCAACTGTAGCAGATATTGTTTTGGACAAAATACTAGACGACAGCATCGCTGAATTGAAAACCAAAGACATATATATTAAATACATCAATAACTATGTAGATGATATATTTGCTATTGTAAATAAAAATGACGTGGAAGAAATAGTTAAAACTTTAAATGCCCAACATAGGAAAATCCAGTTCACGACTAAAGTTGAAGAGAAACAAAAATTAGCCTTCCTAGACATGGAAATATACAACATAAACAAGAAATTGTCAACAAGCTGGTATACTAAAGATATAGCTTCCTCCAGAATTATTAATCTCGAATCACTCACTCGAATCACCCCTGGACGCAAAAGAGGAACACTGCTATCAATCTCTTAAAAAAATGCACGCGTTGAGTGACCAGGAGTTCAGCAATGCAAACAACAGAAAGATAAAGAACATATTACACAAAAACGGGTACCCTAATAATATTATAAACAAGCTTATAGCAACAACAACAAACAATCGAAAGTCATCAGGCATGGGCATTGAAGTTGTAAATAAACATGAACACAAAAAATTCGCAGGAGTCACATATATACATGGATTAACGGATAATAAAACATTATACAAAAACATTCGAAGCGAAAATATAACCTTTGCCCACAAACCAAACTACACACTTAGCACAATTTTCAGCAAAACAAAAGACAAAATCAACAAGGAACAACAACACAATGTTGTTTACGAAGTTAAATGCAAAGGAAAGGTTGGCGAAACCTGCAATAAAGTATACGTAGGCACGACAAAGCGAGCACTGGGCGTTAGAATCAACGAACACCAAGCTGACGCAAAGCACAAAAAGACAACAACAGCACTAGCCCAACACTTAACAATTAGCGGACACGCAGCAGACTTCGAAAACACCAAAATATTAGACGTAGAAAGGAGGGAGGACAAGATTATCATTAGAAGGTCTGCGAATACAACAAAGAATACAGGACGCGATGAACTTCAAAGAAGACGTGGATAACATAAATTGCGCATATCGGGCAGCAATTGGACACATTCGACGAGCAGATGAGCGATAATCAACATTAGGCTGTGATATTTTTATTTATAGTTATTTATTAGTGATGTCAAAGTTAAATATGTTAAAATAATTATTGTGTCAAATGTGATGTAAATGTACAGATGTAAGTGTTACCGTCGAAGAATTGTATTTGTATATGTGTATACTGCAATATGTAACATTGTATCTAGTGGTTGTGTTTTTTATGTTTCTTTTCCAAATGAATAAAAACAGACTCCCTTAAGAAGGCGAAAAACAACACCGAAACGCGTAGGAGGAAAAAATGAAACTTATTTTCGCTTTTTTAAACTACCGGCCAGAAATCTCCTAAAATAACAAAAAGTTTATTTTTTACGTTGTCTGGTAAACGTTGTAATATTAGGAAATTGATGAAGATGGAGAACAAGATAAAGATGATGAAATAAAGGTTAAAGAGTGAAATAGCTCTTATCCGACAACGTAAAAATTAACATCGGGTAATAATTGTTATCAAGCAACGTAAAAAATAAACGTCGCGCAATAACTGTTATCAAGCAACGTAAAAAATAAACGTTGGGAAATAACTCTTTTCGGCGACGGAAAAAATATTTCTCGTTTAATAGCTGTTACGAAGCAAGGTTTTCGTTAAATTTCAGAATTCGGGCAACGTTTTCAATCAGCAAATTTGAGATAACAGTTATTTTTGGTCCCTGATTTATTTTGGGCGGATGAAAAATTTTCAGTT